TCCCAGCTAGAGTAAAGCCATTCAATCACATTGAGACAACATTGTTTTCTGCGCAGAAAATGTGTCTGTACAGAAATATAATTTTATATGCACACAATGTGCGCAAATGACTCCCCTGGGGGAGATAGGGAGGGTTTTTTAAAAAAAGAATTATTGTAAAAGAGGCTGTTTTCCCTACAGAAATGCTATATCTGTGGTTTTACCTTATCCATGAAATGTCGTTTTCTGCATAAAATTGTATTTCTATACAGAAGCATTTCCTGAGCAGATAATGGTACTATTTTCCACACCAAACAACCATGTATGAATTTTCAGCAAAAAAAGTGTGAACAGTCAAATGCAAATGAGTCATTGCTTCCTTCGAAAAGAAACCTAGTGAAGGATTACATCCCTAGTTCCAGCCAAGATGGCCACCGCTCGGAGATTATGGAAGTTGGCCTCCAATATGTCTGTCGGGCAACAGATTTAGAAGGAAGAATCGAATGCCCTTTTTATTCCAGTCTTTGGGGAAGTATATTCCTCTCCATTGGAGATGATAAGGACAGAGGGGAGACCGGATGCCACCAAGTGCCATTGCCAAGTCCCCAATATGGTGGAGGTGGCATTCTCCTCTTTCCCATCTCGCTACCTTTGGCAACCCCTTCGAACGGAATCTCTTTCTAATGAGCCCGGCAAAGTGATAACAATTAATGAGGAAGCAAACCGTTTATTTCCGAGCCCCCTAATTAACATTATCCCAAGCATTCTCTCCATGCTCTTTGGATGTCATAAAACAAGCAGGAGCGGCAAACGAGCTGTTGGCACATTAACACGGGCATGCCCCCGCACCCCTCCCTCGGTCGCCCAGGCATTCAGGCAAACCACAACAGTGGCTGGGAGTGAAAGGCCACCACTTTTATTTGCAACAAAACAAGACAAACAAATTACGGATACTTCGGCCATAAACACAGGAGCCATGATACCGGGAACAAAGCTTTGGCGTGCTTGACAAAAGGACACGCATACCACGGAACATGCACAACATGCCTAAGTGAGCTACCGTTTCTTTTTTT